ACAGCCCCGGCGCACAGCTGGGTGTTACTTTTCTGACCTTTTCCGTTATTGACTATGAACCATTCCAGCAAAACTAGCTGATAAATATTAAATTATATTGCCACTTTTTTTTGGTGTCATTCATCTTTGAGTGTTTCAAAGGACATTTCAGACATTTTTCATGACACCTGAAGATGAATTTACTAAAGAGAAAGAAGTGGACTGCTTTTAATTTGCTCCTCAAGTGGTTATAGGTTGTAAAGTGGAACAATGTTAATCCATTCCTCAGCATTGAGGTGTTTCTAGTCTGAATAAATTGGCTGACCTTTTTATTGAGCATGTGTACGGGGTGTGAAACGTGCCGGACGTTTTCACCGTTTTTGTTGACAAATTGATTTAAAGTGAAAATGAGCAAGGAAAAAAAAAAGAAAATGGTGCTGACAAAGGTTTTTACTTTTGTTTTCATTTTTATTACCCAAGTGAACATAATTTGTAAAATAAGAGAATGTTTTAAAGTTTTTTTTAAGTTTAATTTTATCTCCAGTTTTCTAATTGTAGTTGCCGTAGTTGATTTTAGTTTCATGATTTTTGCCGACAGAAGCCAACCTGTCATTTTAAATGTTGTTAGTAAAGCAGTGACTGTTGTGCAAAGTCTTGAAAGGTATTGGTGGAAAAAAGGTTATAAAAATGCACTTCCAATATGTTCTGTTACATATTTCTGGACCGTGAACCATCCATCTGATTGGTTGTATCTTTTTCAATAAATTTAATACTAATGCATTTATCCTGTTATGCTTCATTTGTTGGAGTCTGCTTGAATGCATTGCTGAAAATATGCTAGAACAGAAACTGCTTCCTCTTAGCTTTTATTTTGTCAACCACAAACGCATTACTCAAAGAGGTGAAGCCTGCAGGCACTTTGACCCAGCACAAACTGAGTAGCAGCCCAGGTTTGACAGATGGGCTTAAATATTCAGCACCTGAGAGGCTTACACTTCATACGCAGCCTCCTTTTAATGAGTTTAGATTTTTAAAGCATCTTGTTTGTGCCATGAGTTTCTGTAGCGGTTTAGAATGTAAGTACCAAAATCAACTTCTTCTAACAGAGAGCTCTTGCTTTTTGATACAAGGAACAAAATGTTCTGGCCAATCAAGTCTACAAAAGTCATGTAGTTAAACATTATTCAGTGCGCGTCTCATGTTTCAGTTCAAATGACCAATGTGTGACCCTTTGTTTACTTCATCTTGGTCTGTATAGCTCTGGGGGGCGGGGAAATCAGCTATAAAGATTGGTGTGCAAAGCTTCATGTGTGATGCCAAAATATACAACCTAATAGACTAAACTAGGCACGATAAAATAGGATCTTCTCTGGGTTTTGTTGGGGCGGTGGGGGGTTGTATATTGTGTGGTTAATGGGAGTTTCCTACATTCATCGAATATTCATCATATTACAGATGAGACAATAATAATAACACATACACATGGGAATCTCCTGTTTACCACAGCCCAAGGGTGCTCTACTAGCCATGCTGTCATGTTGTTTATCCCCAGTCCTGACCCTACTGTCTGAATGTTGGAGCAAAAATCGAGACTCAAATTTGTTTCCAATTTCCAAACAGTGGCACCCAGTGTGGTGGCCTGCTGCTCTTCTGCATACCTTGGTTGTAATTGTTTGTTTGTTTGGTTTGTTTCTTCCTATCAGCTTGAAACATTGTGGTCATCCTCTGAACTGCTGCTTATTGGATTTTTTCCCCCAGGCCTTTCTCTGTAAACCCTAAAAATTATTGTCGGGGGAATATCGCAGCAGATCAGCAGCTTCAGAGATACTGACAAAACCAACAACCATGTCACATTCAAAGTCACCTTTGTTCTACATTCTGATTCTCAGTTTAAACTTCACCAGGCCTTCATGACCATATCTACATGCATGTCACGCCCATTGGATTGCTGCCATGTTGCAAAGCAGCTTGCAGTGTACATGCAGCTGAAACAGTTTAAATAATATTTGTGAAAGCGAGTGAGCAGACCCATCAGTTTCACACCTTTTTCTTAAACTCTGCTATAAATGAAACAAGCGTGGAAGAATACACTCATAAATTGTAGCTTTAATAGATTTGTCTTTTGTAAGTAAATCTGCTTAAATGGATAAATGGTCCTCTTTTCAGCTAACAGTGGTTAGTATTTGTAAATAATTCAAAAGTTCATTTTTAGTAGGGTTTCTTGGCCAGCCTAAATCAACACTATATATCCCTGACTATTTTAATTTAGATCCAGTAGGGGAAACCAAATCATCCCCTTGGAACGTTAAACTGTATTCTGCACAGTAAAGCTGTCAGCTAAATGTAAAACAGAAAAGTAAAGGCTGAAATGCTGTCACTCAAGCAGCAAAGCTGTAAGACCCCCGGTGGACCAAGATTGAAAAATGTCGATAGCGCCAGCAGGGAGCCCCCCCCAAAAAAGCAAAAACAACACAGGAAGCGAGTGACTGTGCATCTGCAGGCCTTGTAGGTCTCATAAACTGGCTGATGATTGCTCCCTTCCTGATTACCAGGGTGGACAGCGAAAACGGAGTCGATAATTGAATCAGAGAAATTTCTACCCGAGCATTGCAGATGGCTGGTCTGATAAGGAGGTTCTTAGCTTGGCAGGACAGGAAGCAGCCTTTCCGCATTCCAAGGTGGCAGAAAGTTTTTTTGGTCTTTGGTGCCCCTTCACATGGTGCCATACTGGGCAGCCTCCTGTCAGCAGACCTGCATGAACTGTGTTGCTTTACCGAGCAGCGATGAAGAAAGCCGTTCCTCACTACTCCAGATGGGCAGAAAGACGATCCACCGTGGTTTATGGTAAGTAAAACTCTGGATTGCTCACATTCGATGTATTTGTTTGTTTGCCTTCCATATATTTCTTTGCTTTATAACGGCAGTAAATGGTGCGTAAAGGCCTCTAGATTAACTCGAGTGTCAGAAGCTCCTGTTTAAAGTCTCAGAAATGACAAGAAGCTTAACAAATTAACTTTAGTTTATTGTAATTGCATGAATACTATGCATTTAAAAAGTATTTATATAGAAGATTGTGTTCAGTTCTGAGATGTGTAGTCATTTCGTTGTTCAAATGCATGTCATGATGCTGTGTCTCGGCCTTAAAGGACCTTTAATTTAACAGGTCTCGGGAAGTTCTTGGGAATCTTTGCTGTAAAATTGGCTGAGATTATCTTGGGAGATTATGGAAAGTTTGACAAACTTAGTCTACTTTTGTATACAGAGTTTAAGATGTCACATTTTACAGATTTAAACTTGAGCTTGAAGAATTTGAAACGGCACAAAAAAAAGTTATTTTCTTATCATTAAAAAAGGCCCGAGTAGGTGTTACTGAGCCAGGATGCTCAAGCAGCTTCAGCTGCTACATAAATCTCATCATTACACATGTAAAGTTAGCATGTTAAATGTTAAAGTTCAGTGAGCTGCTGTCAAGCACGGTGAAGGAGTGGTGATGGTCTAAGGCTTGGTGTGCAGTCACAGAAGCTGGGCACCTTTCAGAACTGAAACAAAGTTGTAAAGAAGAAAAAATGGTGCCTAATCATTAACATATACACATTTGGTGATATAAATGTGACAGCCCATGACACATACAGCCTCAAAAGTTTGCATCCATGATCAGCATTTCACAGCAACTACTTTAACATGAACCGAATACTTTAGATACAAAAAAGGTAAGAAAAGTCTGAAGTTTTATGGCTAATG